AGAGAAGCCTTAGTTTTCTAAGTATGAATTATGTCTTCCATTTTTTACACCCAAAATGTAATATAAAACAAATGTTTTGCTTACAATAAACTCAAAAATCTAAGGATTTCTTTTTGATAGTGCTGGTTTGGTTATGCTGGAAGTGTTTTCTTATTATTGGAATTACTGTTATAAAAATCATAGTACTGGTATTTGTTCTTTAGAAGGTGTTTCTATAATATTTTGGAATTCTGAGTGGGAGTTTAAGTGAATCTAGGGCAAACTGTCTGTCTGGTTTTTTTGACTGGTCCCTGAAACAGCTGGTGTGACTGTATATTTTTTTTATTATAGGTTCATAATTCTCTCCAAACATCCTGTGTTGGTTTTGAAACCCTGTATCAACCTATATGTAGACATTCTTTTAGAATGGGTGGAATGTGTTTTACAAAATAAGACTTTTTCCCCTCTCTCTCTCTCTTTCTCTCTCTCTCGTGAGGTAAAACTAGTGGTAACCTGCATAGTGGGAGACAGATATTTAATGAGGAAGTTATCTCCTTTTATTAGTGAGCCGTGCTGCTTGCTTTCTTGCTTTGATGCTGGATGTTAATTTTTTTCCTGAGCAAATACTGGCATAGAGTGAAACTTGGTGATTTTGATTTACCCTTAAATATTCTGTGTTTCAAAACAAAGTAAAGGAGCAATAGAAAATACATAATGTTTAAGTTGATCCATCTTTATTTTGCACTGAAATTTACTTGGAATTTTTGCATTGTCAATTTTGCTTCTCACCAGCATCAGGAATAACCTCACATTTCAAAGCAGTAACAGCTGGGGTTGTTATTTTGTAGACTAGACCTGTAAGAGCAGCCTGCCTGTGTGTTTATAATCCTAGGTATCTGTGTATTAGTGTACATGCTTCAAGTTTGTAGTATGCATTTCATAAATTATTGTGTAGCTAAAACACCGTCACTGCACTGTATTTCTTTAGATTCAGGAGGTCACAGATCCCACACACATTTTTCTAATGAAATAATCATTATTCAGTACAAAACAATGTATGATAACATGTTTTGTTTTATTGTACCTGTGGGAAGATTTTAAAACCACAACTGCTTAGCTCTGTAGTCAAATCAGCAATGTTCTCTCTACTTTCTGCATGCTTTTATTGCAAAGTGGTTATAATTTTTATGGGTAAATGACAGGAAAAAGGGATTTCTTTGCCTTTCCCTTAGTGGATAGAGTGCTTTTCTGTGGTGCAGGGATTTTTTTAATACTCCTGAGACAGACTTTGATAGCACAGAGCACTGAACTCTCAGGTGGCTGTACAAGTGATTTCCTTCTTACAGCATTTAGTGATAATCAGGACTCTGCTTAAGGAAAGAAAATCCTGACTCCCACAACACATGTTCATAAATTATTTGTATTTTAATTAGGAATGGAATGGATCTCCTGAATCATGAAGTCCAGTCTCTCTCTGTTCCAGGCAGCTGTGTTTATATAACCCAGCTCATTCACATATCTTGAGCTCCATCTTTAAATCAGTTAATTTGTTGGGTCTTACTGTTCATACTGAGAACATGTTCCAGGATGTCATTCCTCTGATGGTTATAAACGGTCTTTTAATTTCCAGTCTAAATTTATAAATATGAGGCTGGGATTCACTTCCTGATTGGAAACTGTACTTGCAAATCTAAATTATTTATATACCTGAGCTGGGGATGCTTCCTATTGATGTTGACGATACAGCAGCACTGTCTCACTTCTGTTATATCAGTCTTTAAATGCTGAAGCACTGGAAGTGTTTTATTGTTTATTCAGGATACTGGTTAATGTCAAACTGTTTCTAACATGGGTGACCCAGTCTCATAATGAGAGCTCATATAAGACACAAAACTTATTTGAGCAGGTTTGTGTTCTACAGCCTTGAATGGTATTTTAACCCTATATATGAATGTTCCTTGATGACTTTTGGGCCCTGAGTCTTGCTGCTTCTCAAAGTTTACTTCTCAGGCTTTATTCTTGATATTTTAAAGCATGTAAACAGATCTTTTGAATGGTTTCTAACAAATTATGTATTTTATAGTGTACTGAAGGTTACTTTTTCTTCAAAAAAGGCTTTAAATGTAATGTAAATGTACTCCTTATCATAAATATCATCATTATACTTGTACCAGTGAACAATTACTGTGTTTATGGAAATAGAGAAGCCCTAGGACTAGAGACCATCTGGAAGAAAGGATCGTGAGATAAAAAAAGGGGCAGAGCAGAAGATGAATAGCTGAATTGGAAAAAGTGACTTTAAAGTGTCCTAAAGTGCAATGAGTCCATAAGAATACCTGTACTGAAAGAGGCCCGTGGTCAGTGTATCCCATGTCCTGTCTCTGGCAATGAGCAGGCGTGTGTACTTGAACAGCATAAGAACAGTGTAAGAACAGGTTAAGCGTACAGTAGTACTTGCCTGGTATGCTCTCTCAGCATCTAACAATTTGTGGTTCCAAGATTTCCTAATCCTGAGGTAATATCGTTGTGATTAATAGCCATTCATGGATTTTTTTTTTTTTCCCCGCCTCTGAATTTCTCTAATTGCTTTTTGAACTCATGTAAACTTTGGCATCTGCGACATCCTGCGGCAATTAGTTCCAGAGTTTAACTACACATTGTGTGAAAAAGTACTTCCTTTTGTTTGTTTTTCAGCCTCCTGCCAGTTTCATTTGGTTCCCCTTAGTTCTTGCACTGTGAAAAACATCCAGTAATCTTTCTCTGTTCATTTTTTGTGCCACTCATGACTTCATAGATGTCTGTGCTACCCGCACTTGCTGTTGTTTTTCCTGGCTTGAAAAGTTCTCGTCTGTGTAGTTGCTCCTTGCATGGACAGTGTTTCATAGCTTCAATCAGCCTTGCCACTTTTTTCCCCTTTTTTAGTTCTGCTAACCCCTTTCTGAGATGAAAGAGCAGAACTGCACACAATATTCAAAATGTATCTGCATTATGGGTTTATACAGTTGCATTATGATACTTTCTGGTTTTTAATCTGGTCTTTTTACAGTAAATCCCTGTAGTCCATTTCCTTTTTTGCCCACTGCTGAGCAATGAGCTCAGTAATACATCTGCTACAACTCCAAGTTCTTTTGTGAGAAGCAACAGCCAGTTCAGAGCCCGGTCTGATGAGCCTAGTCATTTTCCATACCATGTTTTTAAACTGTAGGGACAGTTGAGATGTTTATTGTTTTGCTGAGGATGCAGAAACAAGAGGAAGTTGCTGTCTGTCTCTTGCATGTCTAACTGGGTACTTCAGGCATATTCAGCAATTGGTAGGAACCTGTTTTAATGCAGTTGCTTACAACCTCCCTCACAACTCTCCTGCATTATTTATATCGAGAAGTTCTTCACCAAAGTTGTCTGTCAGTTGAAGAACGTACCCAGGTCTTTCACCCTATCTTAGATTGCCTCATCGGCAACGGGAAGAATTACATTTACTTCTCAGTTGGCATGTGAATCTGGACTCTGCTTATTGCTGAAGGACAAAAATATTTTTATTTGAAACTTAATTCCACACAACTTAGTATTTTACTATATGTTTAGTTTAAATCAGTATCTTAAATATACCATATGCTAGGTTCTGTAAGAAGTAAAATGGAGTAGAGGGAACTAAAAGTATAATGGTAAACATTAATCTTCTTTTAAAAGGAGACCTTCCACTCATAAAAACACCTTGTCAGGACTGCTGTGTTTGTATTGCAGGCTTTTTAAGGCATTGCTTGTGGCTGGAGGGAAAATCTAGTATCTAATGGTGGCAAGTCAGTCCCTTCAAATGCCTGCGGCTGTGATGTGTACAAGTATGTGTAGCTG